GGGGCAGGGCCCAAACTAGGAGTATAGAACGGTGGGGGGGATGGAAGGGTGAATGTGGCTTAGGGAGTCCCAGCGCGGAGAGCTGCGCTATAGACTTACCCCAAGAGGCCTGAGGATAGTAGTCCATACTCAGCTTTTTACATGCATGCTGGGAGTCTGAACTCAGGTCCTCATGCTTGTGCTGCACAGACTTTGCTGACTGAGCCATCTCCCCAGCCTTAGATTTGATTTTTGGACATAGATACATGCCATTCACAGCTATGTATTTATTAAGCACATGAAATAATTGTGTGGTTGCCAAGTCAATATCCTCAAATGTTAGATAGGTAGATGATACATAGATGATGATAGAATAGATAGATAGATAGATAGATAGATAGATAGATAGATAGATGATAGATGATAGATAGATGATAGATAGATAGATAGATAGATAGATGATAAATAGATGATAGATAGATAGATGGATGGATAGATAGATGATTAGATAGACAGATAGATGTTAGATAGATAGATAGATGATAGATATATAGATGATAAATGATGACGATGATAGATAGATAGATAGATAATAGATAGATGATAGATAGATAGATAGATAGAATGATAGATGATAGATAGATAGATAATAGATGGATGATAGATAGATAGATACATGATAGATAGAATGATTGATAGATGATAGATAGATAGATGATAGATGGATAGATAGGTGATAGAATGATTGATAGATGATAGATAGATAGATAGATGATAGATAGATAGATGATAGATAGATGGATGGATAGGTAGATAGATGATTAGATAGACAGATAGATGATAGATAGATAGATAGATAATAGATAATAGATTAGATGATAGATAGATAGATAGATAGATAGATAGATGATAGATATATAGATGATAGATAGATGATAGATAGATAGATAGATAAATAGATAGATAGATGATAGATGATGAGAGAAATAATCAATATATTTATGCTTTCTCCAAATGTTCACTCTTCACAGCAGATTCAATACCCGATCACACAACTCTTCTTCTAAACATTTAATAGTCCTTTATACAAGTATGAGCATATGTTATTAAAGATAAAAAGAAACAACTGCATTTTTGTCTATATACCACATTATTCCTAACCAAAAATTGATTCAGCTGATTATTAATTTTGTTTGTCAGGCTAGAGAGATTGTTCAGTGGTTAAGAACACTGGCTGCTCTTGCAGAGGACCTGGGTTCAATTCCTAGCACCCACATGGCAGCTAACCATCTGTAACTCCAGTTCCAGGGGGGATCCAATGCCCTCTTCTGACCTCCTCAAGAATTGCACAACACGGGTGCACTAGTATACATGCAAGCAATACACTCATACACATAAAATTAAAATAATAAATATATATTCTAAAATTTTGTTTCTTTACTTGCTGGCTTGCTTGATTTTTGCTCAGATGGGAAAAGAACCCACCACCTACCATTTAATTCTACAAGCAAGGCTGTTTGTTACAGTCATTGTACCTAAAAACACCAAAAGCTGAATCTTAGTTGTGCGAAGTCTAAGTACTCCAAAGGGGGGGGGGGCACTCTGGAAACAGTGGCACACACTGGTAATCCCAACACGCAGGACACAGAGGCAAGATGATTATTTCAAGTTCAGGGTCAGCCTAAGCTAGAGTTACATAGTGAGCTCCAGGCCTTCCAGAGTTCACTATGAAGTGAAACCCTAAGCCAAAATCAATACAAAACAAGATGGAGAGAAAACGACTAGGAGGGCAGGGTCAGGGGCGGAGGAAAGGAGGGGAAGGGAGGGGAAGCTTGTTCTCAAACTCCCAGTGCAGGTGGGCTTTGAGCGCACGTCTTCCTCCGACCCTCCTTCCTGCCTACTTTGTCATCCTTTCCCTTTGCTTTTGTTTTTATTTTTCTTTTGCTTTTTGTGTTTTATTTTGCTTTGCTTTTTGTTTGGGTTTTTTGAGGAGGAGTTAAGTCAATTTCTACATTTTTGTCTCAAGTTGGCAAATCTCACATACCATTAGTGACATTATCATGAACTACTAATTATCATTAACATTATATATATGGGGGGGGTCATTGTAGTGAGACCAACCGTGTAAAACCAAAACTTGACGAAGGGAGCACTGTAGAACTCATAGATTCTCCTGGTCCAAGGCAGGCTCTGGGGCTCATTTCTTAAGCTGAAGTGCTGATTTTCATCCGGTTTCTCATCAGGTCCTCTTTCCAAATCAGAGTCTTTCTGAAAAACAAGCAGTCTTGTAGGTATAGTAGTAGGACTTGTAGGTCAGTGGTAGAACTCATGCTCTGCTTCTGTAGGACCCTGCCTGGGTTCAATCCCCAGAAACTTCTGTTGGATGAGCTTGTCCTCCGAGTGGCAATCCAGACTGGCAAGCAGTGGATACATGCCTTTTTCTCTAGCTTCTCACCCGGTTGCTTCAATGACCTCAAACTAATTGGACTATAAGACCCTCCCTAGGTGGGGAGGGGCAGAGGAAGTCAGTCACCCCTCCCACCCAATCAGTCAGCCTTAGCTGCATGGGGGTGGGGGGTACTAAGGATAGGGACAGGAGAAACCAGGGAGAGGGGAGGGGCTTCCCCATCTTGGACCACCAAGGCAGGTCAGGGGGTCCCAGAGATAGATGTAGGGACAAAAAACCCCAAGGGTGCCCACACCTTTGTAAGTACCCCCCACCGCCACCTTTGCTCTGTGAGCAAGCCAAATAAATCCTTTTGTTACCTAAACTGTAGTTTGGAAGACTATTATCTGGGTTTGTTGTTAAGGACGGTGGAAGGAGGACGCTGGGAACCGGGAAGCCTAGCACGCCTCCCCACAGTAAATTTAACTACACCTCCACCACTAAGAATAATAGACAGTTATAAACACACAATCATTTCTTGTCCACAGCTTAACTGAAATGTTGGCAGGCTCAACGAATCTGTGGACTGCATTAAATACAGCAAGCCTGCTAGGAATCTGGCCTTGAAGACCTCCTTCCTCACATACTCACAGCAAACTGACTTCTAAGTCTGGAGTGCTGCAGCTCTTGGCCTAGGCAGTTACTTCAATGTCCTGTGGCCATATGCAAGTAATCACATTTTGCATGGACTTTCTACAAAAAGTCTTAACTCTTTCATCAGCTCCTTAAAAGGTATGTGTTAGCCCAAGGGCCGTGAGTAATGAGTACTCAGGTGTGGGCAGCAGAGGCCTGCATCTGACCTCACCAGTGCCCACACAGGATAGGCTTGCAGAGAGGACAGGAGAGAAATGAGAAGAAAACAGCACTTGTGGCCTGATTACCTTTGGGAGATAGACCAGAAGGGGAGTGAGAGGAGCAAAAGAGATGTCACTCTATTTCTATTGGGTTTTAATTGTTATTGGAAAATGAATCCATTTTATAATTTCAAAGTAACAGTGCAAGGAAAGAAGTGTTCCATGTTCTCTTCTGTGACTCAGACTGATGCGAGTCTGGCAAGACTGCAAGATTTGTCAGGGCAATGGATGAATCGAGTTTTGCTTGAATAGTTAGTAAAGCTACAGGAAAATGTGACCTCCTGGAACTTTCCCAGGTGGGGTTGAAAGTCAAACCTTAGAGATCTGGGAACTGACCCAGGTCAACAGGTTTCAGGAAGCCTGGAATTAAAATGCCTTGAGAGTAATTGGAAAAGTCATTACTTAGTGAGATTTTTCAAACATCAAACCAACTTCAGGAAAACCCCAGAAATCAACTTAACTAATGGCCTTTTTGCTAAATAATTATCTTACTGTTTATATTTTCTGGGTGATTCCTGTCTCAGTTATGCTTGACAGTTTAGAGATGCTAAAGATTAGAAAGTGCTAAGTGAGCCCATCTCTCAGTTGAACTCAAAAGCCACTACCATCATGTACACACCATGGGAAAAGAAATTCAAATTAGGGGAGTCTTTTTTTTTTCCTTTGAAGAAGGTAAAGACAAAAAATATTTCGTTTAGCTTTTATTCCAGTCTTCTCCCTTTCTCTCTTCCTCCTCCTACCTTCCCTTCCTCTCCCTCCTCTTTCTTCCTTTCTAATATTAATTTGATACTAACAAGTACATAGACTAAATCATGACTACAGGGGCTAGAGAGATGGCTCAGCAGTTAAGAGCACTGGCTGCTTTTAGAGAGGACCTGGGTTCAATTCCCAGCACCCATATGGCAGCTAACAACCATCTATACCTCCAGTTCCAGGGGAATCAAACGCCCTCTTCTGATCTCTCCAGGCATTGCACGACACAGGTGGACTTGCACACATATAGGCAATATACTCATACACATAAAAAAATTAAAAATAATAAATATTTTTTAAAAGATTAAATCAGGTGGCACATGGTGGCACATGCCTTTAATCCCAGCACTTGGGAGGCAGAGGCAGGCTGATCTCTGTGAGTTCCAGGCTAGCCTGGTCTACATAGTAAGTTCCAGGCCAGCTGGAACTACAGGGAGACCTGTCTCAAAAATACCGGAAAAAAAAAAAAAAAGAGTAAGTCATAACTACAACAATCAATGGTAGATTAGAATTTATTGTTCAACTTCCTCAGTACTGTTTCATTGTGATATACCAGTGTATTGAAGCCTGAGCCCACCTCTCTCCTAAACCTGCTTCTTTTCCAATCATCCCCCTTCAAGCTGCTAACTTATTATAACCATTAATCCTCAGTCATACTTGCTGTCTCTCGTGCCCATCCCCCTGCTAAACTGACTATTCCTTTAAAATCTGGCTTTTCCTTTCTATATCTATTGCTACTGATGCTGGCTGAAACCCTTATTCCTTCTTGCCTGGATGGTCATCCTGGTCTGTGTTCTCCTTAATTCCAGTCTGTCTTCCTATAAAACTATTCTACACAATGAAGCCGATTGCTTTTTCCTACAGGTGGATCGTCTTGCTACTCTGGTCGTACACATTCATTGGTTCTCCAGTGAACGAAACAGAACAAACAATACGCTCTCTCACAGGACACACCAAGAGCCTTACAATCTGGCTTCCATCTATGTTTCCAATCATGCCTGTAAATAGCTTCTGCTTGCCGGTAGCCTCCATAACTGGGAGTCCAGCCAAACCGTCCACGTGTGAAACTTACCTCTGCCTCATTACTTCCTGCTTCAGTGCCCTATTTACAAAGCCCTTCTACCCCAGAAATGCTGTTTCCCCTCTCCATGTCCTCAGACTCTAGCTCCTAAGGAAACCATCAGTAACCCTTATCCTCACCAGCTGCCTCACTGAGAAGCGCCTCTTCTCCCTGGGTGTTCCATTCTGTCATTTTCATGCAACTTGTTTCTTTCTTTTTTTTTTTTTTTTTTTTGGTGTTTTTGAGACAGGGTCTCCCTGTAGCCCCAGCTGTCCTGGAACTCACTATATAGACCAGGCTTTGAACTCACAGAGATCCGCCTGCCTCTGCCTCCCAAGTGCTGGGATTACAGGTGTGTGCCACCACGCCTGGCTGCAACTTGTTTTTAAGACAGTTCATGCTAACCAGAGGTCATGCTTTTAAGAAATTAACAGCTGAACAATTTAAACTTCCCTTGGCAAAGTTATTTTTTGCCTATAGAAACTTGCTAAAGGAATCCTAGCTTAGAATGGGAATATGTACACACAATCCTAGCTACTCAGGAGGCTGAGGCAGGAGGATCACCTGAGCCCCCAACTTCAAGGCAATCCTGGACAGCATAGCAAGACAGCAACAGAAACACAGACAGAGACAGATGCAGAGAGATGTGGAGGAGAGACATAGACAAAGACACAGAGAGACAGAGAGATAGAAAGAGCTTTGTAAAACCTCACAGAGCAAATGCTGTATTTGATTCAATACACACTACAGCTCACCTCAAGAACAATGGCCTTCCTCCTACCATCAGAGGGGCTTCACCTCTGTGTGCGGTTACCACAAAGACACTAAAAAGTATCATTTTCACCTACCTTCAGTTTTCTCCTATAATACACAGTGTAAACTGTGTTCCTCAGGTAATCATTCACGCATATTTAGCATTATGAAATTTTTAAAAATAATTTATTGAGAATTTCATACACGCACATAATGTGTTTTGATCAAATCCATGCCCACTCCCTCCCCTCCAACTCCTCCCATTTCTCCCCATCACTTTTTTCTGATAACTTTGTGTACTCTTTCTTCTTCTCTATTTATTTTTTATGGGGCTTTTGTCCCTCCCCTCCAACAGTCCCCCCTCTGAAGAGGTAACCCTAAAATCTTTTTAAGGATTAGATACAAGCTCCCAAATACTTTTGAGATTTTTGGCCTTTGGAACAGAGTATGTTGCTAAGAGGCCCAAGGACATTTTGACTTTTAGCCAAGAAACTGGCTACTTTTCTTTGGGGTCTTTTTACTTTAACTTTCTAGCTAATTTCTACCTCCTATTCTTATCACACCATCCTCTGAAGAGGATAGGGAATCGGGACCTAGACCACTCTGGCTTCTTCCATGCTGAACAGGAACACAGGGTGGGGCAACTGGGGTACCCCTTCAGTGGGTCTATCTAAAAGACTCCCAAATTGCATAACTCCTTTTTTTTTTTTTTTTTTTTCACCACATGGAGGCAGGATCCAGGTGCTCATAGGCCGTCCCCTGCGTTCTCAGCCCCTAAGCCAGAGGGAGGCCAGAACCCAGCACTGTCTGGCGGTCTGCTGCTATACCGACAGAGGTTGGAACCCCAACATTATGAAATCTTATACGGTCCACCAAAGTACTACTTCTGTTCCCACCTCTTACCTAGAAAAATTCCAAAAAACAAATCAGCTAGAGGAAATAGTAACAATGTGTGTGTGTCTGCGTGTGTGTGTGTGTGTGTGTGTGTGTGTGTGTGCGCGCGTGCGCGTGCGCAGAGAGTTTAAGATTGAAGCCAGGGCCTAGCACATGTTAGACAAGTATAGTCAATAATTTTTAAGTTGAAGTCAAAGGGTAAAAAAGCCATTAATCAAGCCAGGCACACACCTTTAATCCCAACACTGGAGGCAGAGGCAGGCAGATCTCTGAAAGACAAAGATCTCTAGATTTTATATATATATGGAGTTCCAGGCCAGCTGGGGCTACAGGGAAACCCTGACTCAAAAAAGACCCCTCAAAAAAGCATTAATTTATGATTATTATAAACTACTCATAATAGAATGGGCTTGAATGACTTTCAGTGGAAGTGTTTGTTTTTTGTTTTCCTTCATCAAAGAAGATATTTTATTCAAGTTCCTGAAATAAACTTGAGCTATACTGGTTCTGAACTACAGAAGTAGGACTAAATTAAAATATGAAAATGAATAGTTCTCACATAGTGAGAGCTGAAGTCAGTGCAGACATTCCAATGACACTTCCTTCCCATGTGGCACTTTCCGTGTTTTAAGAGTCCACCAGGCCAAACCCTCGGCTGCCTCTGCCCTGCTCCTCACCAAGGCTGCAATCTCTTGAATATCTTTCATTAAAACATCACCGTCTACTTTTAAGTCTGCTGAGCTCCTTTGGAGCATTCTTTTTCCTCTTCTCAGCACGCATCTTCTTTTTCCACTTATTCCATAAGCTTTTAGCCGTGATTTACTTGAGAAACAACACGAACCATGCTCACCACACCACCCAGAAGCTCCCCTCAATGGAAGTTTTAAATGAATAATGCTGAGGCTTCACAGGCATTCTATCTGATGATAAGCTCCATGTTGGCAGAGGCCACGTTCACCTTAGTTTAAATATCCATTGAATTAATAAATTGATATGGCCACATCTAAACACTTATGAAGGCAACTGCTATAACAGGACCACTATATTACTCTAAACTGAACTTTTCAGATAGCTGTGAGAACTTACTACATTTTTTAAATGTAAAGGGCACACATTTAACTGCTATTCCCCTTTGAGAGCAGTTCTGAGTGGAACAGCCCAGCTCTCTACAATGCCTTTGGAGTTTATGAGTTCATTATTCTACTGAATCTGCAAAGTCAAAAGCAAAATTGAATCCACTGCCAAACTACTATCTGCTGTGTCCTGTAGGATTTACATGCGCATTTGCACATAGATGGAAGATAAACAACTTTCTTCCTTGTTCACTTCAACAAGCAAAATGAACTCGGCAGATGAACAATTAAACAGACATAAAGCCAAGTAGAGTCTCCACGGAAGGCTGCATTCTGTTTCCAAGGGGCTAGGTCAGCACTGCGTTCCTTCCCTTTGGTATTGCTTGGACATGGTACCACACCTTTGTAAGCATGTGACTATCCCAGGCTTTCAAGAGATTTCTCATGCATTCTACAGAGGTTAGAATGTACTTGACTTCTGGATTCTGAGAATTCTAAGTAGAACTCAAAGGAGAGGAAGGAAGAAAGAAAGGGGACACACACCTAAACAGGAGTGATAATTACGATCCTTAACAACAACCTGAAGAGGCAGATCACCAGGGCATCAGAATGGATGGATGCTCGGCCAGTTGCCAACAGATGCTAGCCAAGAAACACTGATTACAACTAATTAGTCTTCATTTCGTATTTGGAGAATATTTCTAATTTATTTGTTTATTTATTTATTTTTTGAGACAGGATCTCCTTGTAGCCTTAGCTGGCTGGAACTCACTATGTAAACCAGGCTGGCCTCAATCTCACAGAGATTTGCCTGCCTCTGCCTCCAGAGTTTTGGGACTGAAGGCATGCACCACCACAGCCAGTCACTTCTAAATATTTAAATAATATTTTAAATAAAAGTTTAAGCCAGGTGTGGTGGCACACACCTTTAATCCTAGCACTCAGGAGGCAGAGGCAGACGGATCTCTGTGAGTTCTAGGCCAGCCTGATCTCCATGGTGAATCCAGGACAGCTGGGGCTACAGGGAGACCCTGTCTCAAAAAGACCAAAAAAAAAAAGTTTAAATAAATAGGGCTGAAGAGATGGCTCAGAGGTTAAGAGCACTGACTGCTCTTGCGGAGGACCCAGGTTCAATTCCCAGCACCCACATGGCAGCTATGAGCCGTCCTTAACTCCAGTTCCAGGGGAATCCGAAGCCCTCTTCTGACCTTTGTGGCATTGCAGGGCACAGGTGCACTCACATACATGTATGCAATACACTCATACACATAAAAATAAAAATAATAAATAAATTTTTTTAATTAAAAAAAAGTTTAAATATATATACCATAAACACAAACCACATCAGAAAAGATGCGAAAGGTGCTTCATTCAGTGTAAACACCAGAGAAGATGTTTACACCTCACTTTCATGGTAAATGGCAGCTTTATGAGCCATGATCCAAGTGGGAGCATAAAGGCAGAGAGTGCATCCACAGCATCCCGGGCCCCTGGCTGTGAAGGTGTTCTGCTGGGGAGGGAGTTCATGACCCAAGGAAGAAACACATCCAGAACTCAAGCAAAATCACCCACAGTCACTGGATGTAGCAGATAAGGAGATACGTGGGGTGCAGCAGTGAGGACACACTCTGAATGCCCGTCTTTGTAGATAAGATCCTTAGGGGTGTGAGGCAGTGCTCAGTGACGCTCAAGCGTAGTAAGTCAGTTTGTTCTGCCTCTCACTGAGGAACACTGAGTCAGCTGCTGAACACCGTGAACGCTTTGACTTTGTCTTTGAAGTAGAAATGTAATGCTTTGCTTATTTCTGTATGAGGATTAATGAGGCCTATGGTACATGCTCTACCTTACCAGTGACTAAAAAGATGGAGATTAGACAGAGGGAACTAAACATCTGGTTGATGAGTCAGTCCTAGGTTTTTAGAGGAATGTGTAACCCCAGGGCAATGTGTTACTTCACTGGACTGAAACAAAGGCAGCCAACATTTTGCTTAACAGATGACTGCTGAAGATAAGCCTCATAGTTGTGCCTCTGCACAGTCACACCATGGACACTCAACTTACTAGATATGGCACTTACCACACAAGCACTTTCTTTGGTGCTACTGAGGTTCTGGTCACTGTAATTCCATGTAAACTGGAAATCTTGAGACTGTGGAACATGCGACATCTCAGCTTTGCTTTTAAATTCCAATGTCAAAATGGTGGGTGGTAAGAGGATACTTATGATGATCTGCAAAGAAAACAAGGTAAAAAATAAACAGAGAATACAAGATGTGTGTACGAGTCAAACAGCAAAGTCAAGACGTGTGTGTGTGTGTGTGTGTGTGTGTGTGTGTGTGTGTGTGTGCTTAAAAATAGGGGGTTGGAGAGATGGCTCAGTGGTTAAGAACACTAGCTGTTCTTGCAGAAGACCCGGGTTTGAATCCCAGCACCCACATGGCAGCTAACTGTCCCTAACTCCAGTTCCAGAGGATCCGACAACCTCTTCTGCCCTCCGTGGGCATTTCACGACACAGGTGCACTTACCTACATGCAAGCAATACATACATACACATAAAATAAAAATAATAAATAAAAATTTTTTAAGTTTAAAAATACATGTATCATACTCATTTCCCCTGAGGAGCCTGAGTAGACAGTTAGGAGTATTATTTTGCAATGACTACATTATTTCAATACTTTTAAAGCCATTAAATAGACATACCACATAAAACATAACATTTAATATGTTCATAGTACAACACTTATTCAAGTTATAAACTTTAGACTATTAATGATCCATCTCCTGTCCTATTCAAATGCTTTGTCTTAGGAAGATCTAAGGAAGAGATGGCTCCAAGCACCCATGGTATTTTTACTATATCACTATACTTGGTACATTTAGCAGTCTTCTCAAAAGAATGTTTGTGTTCAACTTATGTACCCTTTCAAGAAAAAAAACAGCTTAGAATATTATCAAAGCTGCAAAAACCAGTTGGAGGATGCTCTGTCTTGCAATTAAAGTTAAGTCTTAGTACCCCAGAATTCACTGACCAAAAGTTAGATTAACCTCGCTGAGCCACACTTATGATTTTGTAAACTGAAGTCAAAGTCTTGCCAAGCCTGCATTGCATCATGCCGAAATGCTCTTTAAGGGTTTGTTTTAAACTGTGACTTGTGAATGCTCTCTAGACTTTAGTTCTAACACAGCTTTGTTTTCTATTTAGATGCAGAACCCCAAAGCCTCAAGGTCTGGAAAATTAGTCAGATGCACAAAGATAACATATCCCAGATCTACTTCCAGGAAGGGCTCAACCTGCTGCCCTTGTGCATGAAGGATTGGCTCAAGAAGCAAGATTCCATAACATTAACATCAATGCTGCAAATACCTACTTTCAAGGACAGGTTGGGACCTGATAATATACTAAAAGCATTTAAGTCAATCTCCCATCCACATAACTCTCTATGGTGCTCCTGCTTGAAATTGTTCTAACCAGGACATCTCATAATTATTTAAACATGTTCCAAAAACTCCCAAGCCAACACTAATGAACTGGGCTGTTGGTACCAAAGAATAATGGTTACACAGCTCAGGCAAGGACTTCAAGCAGTTGCTTCAGCCTCGGAACCAACTCATTCCTCCCTCCCTCCTTCCCCCAACCTGTCCTCCCTCCCTCTCTCTCTCTGTCTCTCTCTTTCTCTCTCTGCCTCTCCCCCTCCCTCTCTCCCCCTCCCTCCCTCCATACCTCTCTTTATCTCCCTTCCTTCCTCCCTCCCTCCCTCCCTCTCTCTCCCCTCCAAGACAAAAATTCATTAAGTTCTTAGTGACAGGATTTCTGGTAAAGTGAAATGCATACAGGCCCAGCCTTGCGGCAAATTCCTCCTCCAGCAAGGTAAGTCAAGGCCTAGGTGTCAAGGTGCCTCCAGGAGAACTTCTAGAATTATGGCTCAGTCTTTATCTATGTGAGATAATTTTTTATTGACATTTCTCTTATTTCTGTAACCTCATTAGCCAAAATTAAAATATGCAAAGCCTTTTCTATTTTATCTAATACTATTTCTTTTAGTTTGCTAAGTATGTCTCATATAGCCCTTTGCACTCAGGCCTTATCCCCCGTCTATACAGTTTCAGAAGCACAGGTACGCAAGTCTGACGAAACAAAAACCTTTAAGCTTGGGTTCAACTGCTCAGTGAGCAGTGAACTAAATTATAAATTACTCTTGATTATTTTAAACCTGAAGGAAGAGGCCAAGAATTTAAGCGTGGCCGGCCATGTGAACAAGTAGGCAGAGAGCAGCCTAACAAAATGGCCATGTACTCCCCAAAGCAACACACTGGGTCCTCAGAGCACTAAAAATTGCTGATTTTATTTAGTTTGTTGTTATTCATATTTATTTCATGGTGCTGGAACCCAAACCCAGGGCTCTGCACGTGCTATCCAAGCATCTACCAGTGAGCTCTGCCAAAAAACAATTTGAAAATCTGAGGATTCTGGGTCTAGCTTCTTACTGGAGACTCTTAAGGATTTTGTAAATCTTTTTTATTTATTTATTTATTTATTTATTTATTTATTTATTTATTTATTTATTTATTTATTTTTATGAGTGTTTTGCCTGTATGTGTACAAGCGCACCCATGTGTGCAATACCTGCAGAGGTCAGAAGAGCATGTCAGATCCCCTGCAAGATCCCCTGGAGTTAAGGACAGTTGTTAGCCACCACATGGGTGTTGGGAAAAAAACCTGGGTCCACTGTAAGAGCAGTCAGTGCTCTTAACTGCTGAGCCATCTCTCCAGCCCTACATAGAAATATTTAAGAACATGATTCCACAATGTACCTTGCTCACCAGTTTAGTTTTGTTAAAAAAATTTCTATTGGGTCTTATCACAGATCTACCCTTGCGATGCTAGAGAGAGCGTGTCACATAGCTTGGTCGTCAGCATTTTTAAGGCTCATTTCTGTTGGCAATCACAGAGGCACTGGCGTGCGAGCAGCACAGCCAAGTTCTGCTTGTTTGGTTTTAATGCTAATCACCATCAGGTAAGCACAGCTCTGCGGTGGCAAGGCAGATGCAGTTATCCCCAGTTTTGAAAAGTCACTTGGGCAAAGAGATAAGTAGTTCCCAGAGGCTCCTGAGAAAGAGTTGTTTCCTGATGATACTATTCCAGGACACAGACTTTCACACCACAGTAACATTAAACTCCATGTGTAAAGAAAATGTACCTTCAGCCAAGAGTTTTTCCTCATTTTCAGGCGCCCCATCCACATGTCCGTCAGCAGCATTTGAGTACAAGAATGTGACACAAAGGGGCGTAACCCTCCAGTCACCGCCAGCTTCAAGCAGGTGGAATTGCTCCAGTTCTTTAGTTCGTAGGTCAACAGCTTCATAGCCATTGGCTCGTTCTGCTTGAAGGCCTTCTCCAGCACATCCAGGGCAAGCTGGCCGAACTGTCTGATGACACAGCAGTGAATGGAGAAGACAAAAAGGCAGTCAGAGCCCCTAAAATTTCCTCAAACATTTAATGACACTCAGAAAACACCAATTAAGATATCTAATAAAAACAAAATTAGGCCATGCAAAACCCAGCAACTCAAGAATCTCAGCTTCCAGAACTTAAGGAATGGTTGTTCAGCATTCTTTCCCTTTCAAGAAGGAAGAGAACTTGGGCATTTCCAAGGAAGCGTGGAGAAGAATTCAGTATGCACCTGGCTGTTCCTGGGAGAATCCATTTCATGCTACGGGACACACTCCCTACAGTTTGGTGTGGGTGGGTCTATATAAATAAGACCTAATAGAGAATTTTAATAGGAAACACTGTTCAAAACTAAACTAGTGAGCAAGGAACATTGGTGGAACCATATTTCTTAGTATTTTTACTAAAATACTAAAAAATATGACTTCTAAGTGACTTAGAAACCTTTTAAAGATTTTTCTAAGAGGTTATTTTCTCCACAAGTATTCTGAGACTGTACGGTGAGATTGTAGACTGCCTTCTGTCATTCACTCAACCTGCTTCTATCTCCATGACTATAACATTTTCGTAATCAAAATAACAGGAACACCTTTACCCTTTTTTTTATTTCCTGCCAGTTACTCTCTAGTTCTTTAATACAATACTTTTCCTTGCTTTCTCAGCCTGAAAGACACAGCAAACAGCAATCTTTTATTGTTGTTGTTGTTTGTTTTAAAAAAAATTTTTATTTATTATTTTTATTTTATGTGTATGAGTGTATTGCCTGCATGTAGGAAGTGAACCTGTGTCGTGCAATGCCTGTAGAGGACAGAAGGGGCTGTCGGATCCCCTGGAACTGTAGTTACAGACAGTTGTTAGCTGCCATGTGGGTGCTGGGATTCGAACCCGGGTCTTCTGCAAGAACAACCAGTGTTCTTAACCACTGAGCCATCTCTCCAGCCCCAGTAAACAGCAATCTTAATTGAACAACACCAAAGGCTTTGGGAATCTAAAGGACTTCCAACATCATTTCCAAAATCATTAACTATGCTTAGGAAACTAAAGCTTAAAATCTAATCAGCTGACTTACCCAGCTGGTAAATAACCAGACAGGGGACTCAGCTCTCCTAACTCATACTCCACAGAGCTCCTTCAAAGCCCTAAAACCCTTTAAAAGAGTTCATGAAGTGTGAGGTGTGGTAGTTAACATTAGCTGCCAGATAACACAGGATGAAGAAATACCTTGAAATCATTATTTTGCTGTTTGTGGGGTGTTTCTAGAGGTATTGATGAGTTATTCCGAGTGAATTAGGTAGGAAAAATCCCTTTTCAAATTAGGTGGGCATTACGCAGTCCTCCAGCGGTCCAGAGAGGGTAAATACAGAAATGTGACTTGGTCTCTGCCAGTGAGAGGTGAGACATCTGTGCCTACCTTGGACATCAGCAGTCTAGGCTCCCCAGCCTGATGACTCCAGGGCTTATAGCAACAGCAGTACTCTCCCCCAGTTCACAGGCCTTGAGCTGAGAGTCCTACTATGGAATTCCCTGGTTCTTGGGATTCTGGACTTGAACTTAGTCTTGTTATTGGAATCTCCAGGACCTATACAGCCTATCACAGGACTTCTCAGCCACCATAATCACGTCAGTGAATTCTCTCCCAAATCCCTGCTCATACAAGTCCCTATATATATGCTATTGGTTCCTATCCCTTCTGCAGAACTCCGAATAAAACACATGGCTACGAGTCTACTTGCGCTACACTAAAGTGAAGGAGATAGGAATGTCAAAGCGTTCTAAGAACTGCTTATGTACAGTATGCAGCGGAGAGGCAAGTCCTACTTGGAATAATTTTTCAGCTCTTCTGAGGTATCATCCACCATGTTGCTCTCCTTAGCTTCCCGAGCCATAGCTCGGTAGAGTATACAAGCAATCACTGCCTTCACCGTGGCCTCTTCCCCATGCTGCCAGAAGAACATGGCCATCTTCTGCCTTTTCATCAGCACAGCCCAAACCAGCAGGTCATTGTATGGGTAGATAAAGCACGTAGACTCAGGGTCCTCTGAATGGCTATGTCTTTCCTTTGATTTTTTTAATATATGAGAAACTCCAGGCTTGTCCTGCTGCAAAGCAAAATAAAGGTCTAAGTACTCAGATGCATGATACTTAGCTTAATGTAAGACATTGAGTATCCTAAAGATATTTTTAAAAATAGTTGCCTCTACCTCTGTTAGATCCCCAGCACTGTACAAAAAGTAAAACAAACAAAAAGAACAGATGTTCACCACAGCAGTCTTGTTAGTACAAACTATCTGGTCAAACTGGTACAGTATGGTGGAGGTGTAAGGCATACAAAAGCAATCTGCTAATGAAGTAGCCTTGTGGTAGAGTGCCTGACTAGTACGCAGGAAGTCTTGGGTTCAAGTCTCAAAGCTACAAAAACCATGCATGCTTTGTTGAACTAAATAAAACTCAGAACTTAAGAAGCAAGGAGAATTGTGAGTTCAAAGATAGTCCTGATTGCATAGTGAGACCTTGTCTCAAAAAAAAGATGGAATATCCATAGGACTTTATAAATCAGCAAGTGCAATTTATACTCTTATGATATTTGAATAAATAAGAATCTTATTTTCAAAAAGCACCCTCTACTCTCACCTTAGAAAATAGATGTGTCCTCCCTTTGAAGAACATCACTAGTGCTGTCAACATACATCCAAACAGATCAGCTTTTTTCCTTACATTTCTCTAGTGACAGTAATTTCTAACAGTGAAAAAGCATTATTGCCCTGGCAAGCTCATCCTTTGCAGTTCAACCCAGATGTCACTCCAGTGCCTTGTACATTTCCACACCACTTCTTGTCTCTGTTTCAATGTCCTCATATTATATAATGGTTAGCCCCTTGAGGAAAGCTGTCACCTCCTCAGTTGCTATCTTATCAGCCCCAACCCACTCATCTCCCAAATTCAGCCATGTACTCAGCACATGCTTGGAAAATAATAAAGATTTTTACATAATTATTTTTCATAATTTGAGGCATCATAGAAAATATATATGTGTAGATATGTGTGTATAGATAGATGATAGATAGATGATAGATAGATAGATAGATAGATAGATGATAGATGATAGATGGATGGATAGATAGATAGAAAAATAGATAGATATAGATAGATAGATAGATAGATGATAGATAGATGGATAGATAGATAGATAG